ACTAATTGGTGGCAAGGCCAATAGACCACAAATTTTTTTACTCACCAATTTCAAGGACATTAGTGTCTCTAAGTACTGACCAAGGCTGTCTCCCTCCAAACACGACTACCCAGCTAATAGATGGAGTCACATCATAAACTGACATAGAATAATCGTATCTTTCGGTGATATCATCTTCTAGTGTATCCTATTATAGATGAACACGAATATGCATTGCGATTACGCTAACATTAGATTGCTATGTTAACTACTGTAGCAGTGACTACAGTACATATTTCCTCTTAAATTTTGATGAATAATAAAGTTTTCATTGTATTAAATATTGTTGACTTTAAAAATATTTTTTATGGCTACATTCAATTTGGGTATACACTTACCAATTGCTTCCATGATCTTTTATTAATGTCCAGAATCCAACAGTCACTCATATCCATTCCACCCATAACCAGTATCAGTGGACCTGATGATCCATTATCAATGAGGACACTGTAATGACTGTCTCGTTCAGCAGGCCATGGATCAGATCCACCAGGATTGGGGATTTCTCTTATCCCCTACAAAATCATAATTCATATAATGATTTTAACAAAAAGTTGCATTGCTAGTGTTTAAGCTATGTCTTTTAGTGGCTAAACTAGCTTGTTCATATTAATCAAATAGTATAGCTGTAAATAAAACTCATAATTGTGTGGGCGATTTGACAATTTGGCACATAACACAAGATTAGTTACTTTTAGGGCAGCTTTTTAACCGTACCATATAAGCAGCTATTAAATGTTTTGTTGAAACTCACCACTTCTGATTCCTTAAACTTTAAAGTATAAAGTCTGTTGCTTGGCCCATCAGGAGTGTTACCTCCAAACAATATGGCACTGTCAGTAGTTACTGGAGTCAGAGTGAAGTTACTAATAGGAGGTAGTCTATCTCCAGTAACAGTCGGAGAGAGCCACTGTCCTAAAAAGTATATCAAGCATAAATGTAAGCGAGCAATAATATTGCCATTATAAATAGATATCAGGCCCTCATTGCGGTGGGAACTTATAAGGCTCTCATTGTGGTGGGAACATATAAGGCATTCAGTTTACATAGATTGGTCAGCTAGGTTTATTTTGCTTATTATTGCTACTCATGTATAAAAACATTTCCTAGAATTGAGACCTGACAAAACAGTTGACACAAAATAGATCTATTCTATACAAGCATCTACAGTACATATATGAAGCAATACAATGCACACAACACCTGTCATGACTATTTTGTGTTAAAAATATTAAATTTACTTTTAATCTGAGAAAAATAATGAATCTCATTGCAGTATTGATAGCTATCATCAGCTTCATCCCTGCCATACATAGCACCTACTTGCTCTGGAACATTATCAGAGACAGGACCATATCCACCCACTACTGCAAGACAGCCACCATCTCCTTTCTTAAACTCTAATGCAAGCATAGCTCCACATCTCTTTTGCATAGGCCCCGAAGTTGAAGAAGTTTTCGCAACCTCCTTCCATTCGAGAGTATTGACATCTAAACTGTGCAAGCTATTGTGATGACAGTTGTCGTGATTGCAAGCTCCTCCAAAATAGAATATTTCGTTCTCAATACAAGCTGATGCATAGCCCCACACTCCCAGTGGAGGGTTGTTGGTGGTTGGTTTTTGCTCCCATTTTCCAGTTAGGAGGTTGAACTTTTCAACAACTGATGTGATCTCTCTCTTTCGGTCGCTCTCGTGTTCGTACGTGAGGCTTCTTTGATATCCTCCCCACATGTAAAGGTTGTCTCCCACCCTCACTGTTGAGTGATTGTCTCTTTCTGATGGCTGAAACTCTGAGACAAAGAAAAAAAATTTACTGATTGTAAAATGTAGACTCTATTCAAGCATGCACATTTAAATTGGCTAAAATTACAATTTTAGATCTAATATCTAATAGACCTCTCTACCTTCCTCTTCTGTTGCTGACATTCCTAAAAGAACAGTCTTAAGCAGGATCTACTAAACTTATTCTGTGTTCAATCTGCTGTCTGCGAACTTGTGTGAAGCTGCAATGAATGCCCTTAGCGAGTGTTCTCAGCTCAGCTAGAGGTACCGGCACTGCAATAGGGAGGAGCTGTTAACACCTACAACAGCGTGCATAAACAATCATGGATGCTGTCCGTGTTCGTTTTGCTCCAAGTCCAACTGGGAACTTGCATTTAGGAGGACTCAGAACTGCTCTCTATAACTATCTGTTTGCTGCCTCTAATGGCGGGCTTGGAGGCAATAATAAGAAGAGTAAATTAATCATGAGAATTGAAGACACAGATCAAGTTAGAATTTAGAAATTTTTTATTTGTAATTTTATTTTTGTTGGTTTTTAAAGGAAAGGACAGTACCAGGGACTGTTGATAGAATGATGAAGACGTTTAATTGGTTAGGAATTGCTTTTGACGAGGGGCCAGATGTGGGTGGAAAATTTGGACCATATACTCAAGTATTATTATTATTTTTTTTTTAATTTTTATTTTTTTTTATTATTATTTTATTTTATTATTATTTTCATTAATTTGGCGGAGTTTTATTTTGGTGATTGGCTGTTTGCAAGCAGAATCGCCAATATTAAAACTGCCAATCATTAATGCGCATGCTCAGTAATGCACGTGTACACAAAAATTGCCAAAAACTGCCAATTACAATTTTACATCAAAATTGCCAAAATAAAGCGTTATACAGTATTTTTATTATTGTTATTATTTTTATTAATAATTTAGTAGTAATTATTTTATTTTTATAGTCACAAAGGCTACAACATTATCAACAATATGCTCAGGAGTTAATCAATGTAAGATTGTTGTTCCTCTAAATATTTTTTTATCCTCGTTTTATTACTGTTACTACTGCTTTATAATCAGGCCAAAGAGTTTCAGCTATAGTACAGGATATTTCATCATAAATGACTAGGAGAGAATTTTTGATTTTTATTGCATTTTTGGGTGCATATACATGTCCTTATGCTGTGTAGAAATTTTGAGCCGATTATGGTCACAATTGAATTTTTTATGAAGTAAAGTTGCTCCAAAATCAGGCCAAAGTCCCTGTACTATAGCATAGGAATTTAGGCCAAATTTTGTCAAAAATGAAAAGTGGATTATTCATTACGACAATTGTCCCCATACATTTGCATGTTCTTTTATTGTGTAACAAGTTTGAGCTAATTCCGATCAAAATTAGATTTTTTAATGAATTTTTAAAGTTACCCAAAAATGATAAATATGAACTTTTTCCCCTTCATGGTTATGCTTTTTATAAAATTATCAAAAATTCTTTTTTATTAATAGAGAGATGCTTCCTATTACTGTTTCTGTAGCAAGGAGAGACTGGAGCTACTGAGGAAGACTAATGGAGGGTATGACGGGCTGTGTAGGACTTTATCTCAACGTCAGATCAACGAGAAACTTTCGCAAGGAACACCTTACGTCACTCGACTAAAAGTGAGACTTCATTACATTAAGCACTGTTGCATAGTGACTATTCAATATTATAGAAAGTTTTAGCTGAAGTTTTTGTGTTAAAGCCATGCCATTTTGGAACAAAAACAAGGACTATTGCCCATTCTTTAATCTTAAAAAAATGGCTCCAAAAACACCCCATTTTTAGTACATTTTAATAATCTAATAGTTGCATTTCAACTGCAAATTTTAAAAGTGTGTCCTGCTCACTTCCTATTCTTCTACTCCTCATTAACTCACTGTACATGTGTACGTCATGTACATGTACATGTTCACATACATGTACATGTATATTTTTACTTTTTAGGTTGCTAGTGAAGTAACAACTGTGGTTGAGGACAAGGTGTATGGTAGTGTCCCTATTATTAACAAAAGCATTGATGACCAGGTAGAGAAAATACTACATGTATGTACATGTGCATATGTTAGTTTATGATTAGCTAAGTGTTAGGTTTAGTAATTATTATAGGTATTGCTGAAAGGTGATGGTATGCCC